AAAGTTATAATTTTTGGACTGAAGACAAATAATTTTTACCCTTCCTGTAATTTCTTTTGTTTTTTTACAATTCTTTTGCAACATTTGCGAGTGACACAAGTCTTCGTTGTATCGTGTCCAGGTTGTAAGCATCGTTCAAGCTCTTCAAACACTCCTTTCTTCGCAAGTATTGCAGGAATGAATGGCACAGAAATAGGCAAGGAAAAAATGTAACTTACTGAAAGTTAATTATATATTTGAAGTTTCAAAAGTCAAAACTGTCACGTTTTAAATCGTAAGTGGGTAACAAAATAAGTAAATGAATAAAAGAACACAAACTTGCTCAGCCTTTACCTTCATTACACACAAGATGACAAAACTTTTGGGAAAAACAGCTCCTGGAATTCACAAACTATTTGCATCACGTAAAGATTACGACGTGTTTGGAGCAGCCTGTACAGATAAATGTGTTTGTCAATTAGGTGATTTATTGTATGAATTGGAAGCAAATTCTGGACTATGTGGTTAGACATTTTTACCAGAAGTGGGAAAGAGAAACACGGTGACAAAGTTTTATAACTTCAGTATGAAAACTGATTTTCAAGTGCGTTTTACGTCTTTTTGGAAAATGACAATGCCTTGTTCGAAGTAATCAATATGGACGTCTTTTACTTCTTTAATTCCACTAATTTTACTTTTAAAATATTTCTTAGCATAATAGGTACCAAATTGTTATACATAAGTGTTCATTTTTTAGATTTCTACCTTTTGAAATGAATGTTTACCAGTAATCTCGTGTAATAGGTGTCGCTTGCCACTCATTCAACTTTTTTATATTTGTCATTGGTAAAGATTCGACTTTGCAATAATAATTTTTTTTATATTTTATTGTTTTCGTTTCAATTTTTTCTTGAAAGAGGGCTGCATTAAGCAGGCCAGTTTCTCCTGCTTTACCTAAAAGTTCCGCTAGAATATTTTCCGGTCTGATAGCACTTTCTACCATAGCAAAATATTGTCTGACATGTATGTTTCCTTTTGTTTCATAATGGCGTGCTTTCTACTGATGTCTTTCATTAAATCTTAAACAGTGTCGATAAGTTTAGCTTGAATTCATGATTTCTAATTGTGATTGTTGAGCATTTTTGTTTCTTAGAACATATTTCTGGTTCCAATAAATCTTTTATTTACAGCTCACTTATCAGTACTAAATTTAGTACTTTTATGTTATCAA